ATCTTGGTCCCACTGCTAGGGGCCCCACAAATAGACAAAGCTATACAACTATGGAGCTGCTGGGTCATGTGGCAGATCTATATTTAATGGTTTGAGAATTGCCAGATTATTTTATGAAATGGTTGTAGCATTTTCCTTCCTCTTACCAGTGTGGGGGGTTTCTGACTTCTTCACACCTCCAGATGGCTTTCCCTTTACATAGTATCATTTTGCTGAGGAGGGCAAGCTAGAAGAAAGTAACATTGTTGCCCCAGTGAAGATGACATCAAAACTGCACTCTTGTGAGGACTAGTCTTCATTGTCAATTTAACTGCATCCCGAATCTCCAAGAGAAGGGCCTCTGGGTGTACCTGCGAGGGTATTTCCAAAGATACTTAACTGAGGAAGGAAGACCCAACCTGAATGTGGGTGATATCATCCATCCCATTGGCTGCAGTCCCAGACTAGAAAAAAAAAAAAAATGCATGAGCTAAGCTCCAGCACCCATCTCTCTGTGTGAGAGAATTTAAGGTCACAGAAGGTAGTCATAATATTTTTTTGACAAATTACAGTGTGAGTGACCTCTATTTCAGGTTCCAGTAGAGTCCTGTTCCATTTTGAAAGCTGACTGTGGACCCATTATGATCAGTCAATTCATGTTGCTGATACTATGCCCCATCATCTAATAAGATAAGTAACTAACACGGAAAATTGGTGCTAAGGAGTAGGGCCATTGCTGTCACGGACCTGACCTCGGTGTTTGTAAGCCTTCAGATCCAGTTTGCAGATGGCTGTGAAAGAGTTTGGAGTTGCAGGCTAGAGACGCCCTAGATCTGTAAACAGAGGCTAGTGGGTCATTCTGGCAGGAGTTTAGGAGACTTGGATGCCGTGGCAAAGGTTGACAGTGGAAAAGGTGGACAGTGGAATCCTGTACAGAGCTTTCAAAATGAAACAGGACTCTATCAGGAACTGAGGTAGAAACCACTCATACTATAATGTGGAAATGATTACGAACACCTTCTGGGTCCTGAAACTTTGAGTGAGGCTGAAGTCAAAAGTGCTGGACTAAGCTGTTTGGCAGAGGAAATTCCAAGATAGCATAATACCCAGACTATGGTCTGGTTAGTGCCCCCCCCCCACACACACACACACTCTCAGCTCTACAGTGAGATAGTGGGAAAATAAGAAATATGGCTGTTTGGCCAGGAAAGAACTGTAGCAGAGTTTAAAGATGTAAACAAAGTAGGTGCCAATAATCTAAAGAGATTAGTGTCATTGAAGAGAAACCTCAGTCTCTTCATTGGGACAACAGGAAGAGTACCTTGAGAGTAGGACCCAACCCACAGAAAGCTCCAACTTCTAAAGTGCAAATTAATTTGAAAGAAGAGAGATGAATTGAGAGGACCATTGAACAGGTTTTCTATTCAGAAACCTAGAGAAGTAGCCCCAGGTTCAGCCACAGAGCACACAGAGACCTCTAACATCTGTGGTAAAGGGGTAAGTACAAGCCGTATCCTGAGCTGACAGTAGACCTTAGAAACATCATCCACATGGTGTTGCTTTTGCAAGTATGAATAATACAAGAGTTATGAGGTCATGGAAGCTTATACCAAGGTTCCAGGAAGTCACTGAGACCAGGCAATAGGGTGCATCACTGGATTCCTTGCAAGGGGCCTCTGAGAGGTCATTGTGCGACTCTGTGAAAGAAAATCTAAGTTGCAGTGGCGGCTGTGGGCTGGCTGAAATGCCAGGACTGGGGAAGGGGGAGCATCCACAGAGGAAAGTGAACAGAAGGGTGGAGCTGGGTCAAGGGAGAAGCTACATGTGCTGCAGGTAGCAGACCACAAGAGGCACAGCTTCCCAAGCATGCTGAACCCCAGATGATACCACCACAAGCCCCAGATGCTAGACATAGACCTCTTGAGTGTATCAGTCTTGCTTTGGTACAATCTTTCCTCACTATGTCCCCATTCTTTCCTCTCAGAAGGGGAATGTTTATTTGGTGTATTGGAAGTAGTTGACTTTTGTTTCGTTTTTAATCTTTCATGAGCTCAGAGTTAAAAGATTTCCCCAAGTCTCAGAAAAGTCTTTGGACTTTGGCACAATGTTGGGACTGTTAAGACTTTGGAAACAAAGAAGACGAAATGCATTTTTCCATTATGAGATAAACACGAAACTTTGAGGGCCAGGGATGGAATGTTACCATTAAAACTTATGCGTTTGGGCATCAAGTTGACAGGGTAGACTTATGATGTGTTAGTCACCAAGGAGACATACCCCTGGTTGTGTCTGTGAGGGTCAACTGAAGAGGGAAGACTGACCCTAGGGATGGGGTCCGAGACTGAAAAGGAGAAACCAAAAGCACGGGCATGGCCTTCATCTCTCTGGGCTTCTGACTGTGACTCCACATGACCAGCTGCCTCGCACTATCATGGCCGTGCCTTCCCTGCCATGATCTACCTTACCCCATTAAACCATGAGTGAGAATAAACCTTCTTCTTTAAGATGCCTTTAATAACTGTTCTGTTGCAGCAACAAGAAAAGTAACTGGCACTAAGGCTTGCCTTCCAAATTACTTTAAGGGAAGAAAACAAACTGTCCTTACCATCCCATGGCTCTCCTGGATCCCTGTTAGCGATAGCCTACCATCCCTAACCCCTGCAGACCTAGCAGCATGTCTTGAATCTAGAAGGAGTTTTTCCTATGAAGAAGTCTGTTGTGCTGTTGAACTCTGGATTTGTATTTTAATTCCTTTTCTAATTTCAGATCTCATCGTCCAATAACCATTCTCATTGTTTCTGATTTTCACTGGTACCTTGTACATGCTCTGCAAGATGAAACAATGGAATACCTAGAAATAAATGAAAGTATTCTAGAAGAGAATTTAAATTTTTTTTACATTTATTTGTTTTATATTGTATGGATGTTTTGCTTGCATGTATGTCTGTGCACTGTATGTGCCTGGTGCCCCGGGAGGTCAGAAGAGGCTGTTGGATTCCCTGGAATTGGAGCTATGGATGGTTATAAGCTACCATGTGGGTGCTGGGAATCGAACCCAGGTCCTCTGGAAGAGCAGCCAGTGTTCTTAACCTCTAAGCCATCTCTCCAGTCAGGAGAATTTTTAAGTGAAAAGGGAAAGCATACACTATGATAAAGTAGGATGAGCAGGAATTGTTTCCTTCTTCAAATATTATCCTAAGTTTTAGAACAAGACTGAAAATGAAGTCACTTGAAGCTATGCATGGTGGGACATCCTGTCATCCAACCACTCAGCATCTGAGGCAGGAGGATCTCTGGTTCCAGTCTAGCTTGGGCTACATAACGAGAACACACCTCAAAAAACAAGTAAGTAAATAAATAATAAGTCATTTAAGGTGTGTCATTAAATTCTCTGGGAGGTAAGGAATCATCCGGTGTCACATTGGCCAGTCAGTGCTTCTTGTGTGTCTCACCATGGTCAGGTATTATATTTGAAGGCCAAACGTCAGCCTTCATGACAGGTTCTCAGACTCACACCAAGGTTTCTGCCTTCGCTTTTAAACGTGTGAAAGGAGACTTAATAGTTCTATGAATCTGCTCCCTTGCCCTCTCCAGTGCTTAAGTTCCAGTGAACTGTGCTTCCAGGGACACTTTCAACTGACTCTCTTGTGACATAGGTACTTGCCTTAAAAACAACTTTTGATAAATGGGATTCTTCTGTTCTCATGTAACTAACAAGTTGCTACTGGTATGAAGAATGGAGTCAAGGGGAACTCTGGAATACTGTATTCCTTCTTTGGTGCTACAGTTAGTCACTTATCAAATACCTCTGATGTTAGAAAAACAAAGCATTTCATTCTATTAAAAAACTATAATCTTACATTTTTATTTACTTTGCTTTCCTAGGGATCAAACCCAGGGCTTTGTGCATGCTATGTAAGTGCTCTACCAGTGAGCTGTATACCCAACCTAATTATGTCTTTTAAACCCCATTCTCTCCTGGGATTAGGTGAAGTCTCTTGGTTCAGACAACCCTAGGTTCAACCCTGGCTCTTTACCACTGACCCTGCCTCTGTTCCACCCATCTTCTTTATGGCACTCTAGCAGTATCTTCACCTTCAAAACAGAAATAATAATTTTACCCACAACGTTGGGCCACCGAGAAGGATTCAACGTAAAGGCTACAGCCTTGGTTTGGCACCAGGAAGCACACCTTGATGTTAGCTGTGGATTTCTGACTTGTTTGCGTCATTTTTCGGTAATTTTTCTTTCCACCCACTGAGCGGTTTCTAGCAGTGACCATTCAACAAACTTGCCAATATAGACATAAAAGGAGGGATGAACCCTGGTATCTGTTTCAAGAGAGATGGTACTAGGAAACATTGTTCCACACCTTTTTTTCCTGTGATATGCAAGATATCCTTGTGACACAGGATAAGAAGGGATGAAATGCTGTGTCAAAAACAAAAGACACAGGTATGGCATATGGATATGAAAAACAGATATGTATATACATACTCAACTGTTTTTCCTTATCAAGGCCTTTTGCCCTTAAGCGCAAATTTGGATGCCAGAGGCAAATCTCTGAGGGTTCTGGCATTGACCTCATGAAATCTCCTGTCTATTCAAGCCACCAAACTCTCAAGGAAGTAAGTAGCACGCACTCCTTACACAATACAATGAGGGAACTATGGGGCGTTCTCTGCTTTGGCCACCTGTAGACAGGTCATTGTGACGCGAGCACTATGGACACGTGGAACACCTGCCAGAGAGCAGGGGCGGGGTTATCTCCGACAGCAGGTCCAAAGGCAGGATACCCTAGAGATGGGGGTCACGGGAAGACCCCAGGGAGCAGAGAGAGGGACACTCGCTCCTCTTATCCCTGATCCACTCCAAACAAGGTGAGACCACCGCCCTCCCCCTACCCGGATCCTGGGGGCCGTGGGGAGAGCGGTCGTCCGTTGCTCTCCCTGTGGGAGGGAGGCGGCGGGCGCTGGCCCGGGGGTGGGTGAGGGGAGGGCGGCGGGGGTGCCCGCCCGGGCAGCGGTGCTGCGCTGCGGCGTGCACGGGCTCGGCGCTGCTATTCCGGCTGGCGGCGGCCGCTGCAGGAAGGACCGCTTCCTGCGCTCCCCGCCCCTTCCCTCGCCAGAGCTGACGCTGACGTCGGCGCAGGGAGCTGGAGGGACGCTCGGATCTCCGCCGGGAGGCTCCTAGGGGCCGGGGCTCCGAGGTACCTGCCCTCCGGGGCCGGGGCGGGGGCGAGCCGGGCGGGCTGCATGCTGCAGCGGGAGACGCCCGGCAGCCAGGGCGATTGGGGACGCCAAGCCAAGGCTGCCTCCGCTGCCCTTTGGGGGCGGCGGGTAACAGGCGGGTCACCTCGTCCGCCCCGGATTCGGGTGCGGGAGGAGCATCCTCTCCCTTCCCTCCTGCGGATCCTCCCTCGGGCCTGGATGTGAGGAGGATGCGCGCGCTCTGGGAGCGTGCGTCAGTCCCGGGGAAGCGGGAGGGAAGCCCCAAGAGCACCTGCACCCGCACCCAAGCCGCATCCTCACAAGCCCCCGGCTGGCCTCCCTTTCTCAGATCATGAAGGCCTACCCCCGCCCCGTCTGGGTGCCCTCTGGACAGGGACTTGTGTCTAGGGCTGACTTGTTGCCTAGTTCACCTGCAGCGGTATCTGACGTTTGCTTTTGCTGTTCCTCCATTGCTGGTCTTTGGTAGGGGTGGCTAAGCGCCGATGGGTACCTTTTTTATAATGAGTGGTGCCAGGAGGCCTGTGGTTGGCCCCTGCGGGCTTGGAAGAGTCACTGAGCATGCCACGTTCTTGCAAACCCTGGCGCGCGGGTTTCTTTGGGTGCTGCGCTGCTGACTCCGCCTTTCCTGCCCCGAGGTTAACGCAGCTCCTGTTTCCTCTGAAAGTATATCCTGTTATGCCAGTCTTTCTCCCGACAGGCTCCCGTTACCCTCCCCAGTATCTTTTGACTTGGAGAGTCCCAAAGCCCCTCAACTTGTCTTTAGGGCCTTTAACGCCCCATGCCGATATGTTGGCAAATAGTATTAGCTGCCTCTTTCGGGGGAGAAATTAAGGTTTAGAAAGGAGACGACATCCTCCCCTTTTTAGGTAGCATTGAAAACAGCTCAAGAAAGGGTTTGTCCATCAACAAGGGGTGGGGGCAGCCTTTGATGCCTAAGATCTGGTAACTAAAAATTACGGGGATTTTTGAAAAGACAACACCAGCTGGTTTGAAAATGGTAATGAAGGAAGACACTCAGGATATTTGTTGACCATTATGGTCCCATAAACCATAACTTGCTGAAAATATGATTATTTCAGCCCTGTCTCTCAAGTTGGCTCCCATGGTCCTCTGGTTTAAATCTGATATCTCAACTGCTCTGAAGCTAGGAAGTAAAGTAGGACATGATTATTAAATCCACACTTCAAAATGTTTCTTACCCTTTGTTCAACACACACACACACACACACACACACACACACACACACACACACACACACACATTTTTGTTGTTTTGTGTATATGTCTGTGCATAATGTATGAGCACCCTTAGCACGCCATGCCCCACGTGTGAAGGTCAGAGAGTAAATTTGCGGACTTGGTTGTCTCCTTCCGCCTTTCCGTAGGTTCCAGGGGTTAAATTTAGGTTGCCAGCTTTGTATCATAAGTACCTTTACCTACCCAGTCATCTCACTGCCCACCCCCAATTGCTTCTGTTTTCTTTTTAGGTTTCAATTTTTATTTTTAAAACATCTTTGTAGAGAATACTATAGGTTCAAAATAAGTTTATGGTTCTTAGTCTTTCAAACATGAGTTTGGTCTTAGCCCAGTACTGGAGTTTTGATTGCAAGAGATGCTATTTTATAATAGCATTTCTTATTAGGAAAATGGTTGCAATGTTATTGAAAACGAATCTTGAGAAAACCTAGCAGTTAAACTACAGAGTTCTGTTACTTGCAATAAGTAGAGAAACCTGAGATTAGATAACTGACCCTTGATCCTCCAATGAAAGCTAAAGACATCAGCTGGTAATTGCTTGTGATTTTATACCCTACCGCTATCTGGTAGACCTGAGTAACTGCTCTGTCTGAGCATCTTTATTTCTGTGTCCAGACTTATGAAAAGTACGTTAAATCTTGTTCCCCAGTAGAAAATCTTCCACATGACCATTTTCAATGTATCTAATGGCACAAGTACATTTTTTTTCCAGCTAGAAGTAGCTTTATCAGTGGAAGGGGAGTGTCTTAGTTAGGGCTTCTATTGCTGTGAAGTGATACCATGACCATGCACCTCTTCTAAGTAAAACATCTAATTGACAGGGCTTGCTTACAGTTTCAGAAGTTCAGTCCATTATCATCATGGTGTGGCATGCAGACAGACATGATACTGGAGGAGTAGCTGAGAGTCCTACATCTTGCAGGCAAGAGGAAGGAGACTGTGACACTGGGCGGTATCCTGAGCATAGGAAACCTCAAAGCCTGCCCTCACAGTGACACACACTTCCTCCAACAAGGCCATACTCACTCCAACGAAGCCACACCTCCTAATAGTGCTACTCTATGAATTTATGGGGGCCAATCACATTCAAACTCCCACAGGGAGTGTGACAAGACCTAGCAGAATAAACTAGTGTTGAACATGAGCTCTCAAGTTACAGGAACCTGCAAGAGAAATGGGGAAACTGATAGGTCACTGGGATCTGGAAACATGTTTCCTCTTTACTGGGTGATCCTGACAGTTGGAAACCTAAAGATGGTGGCTACAACAGGACTAGCATTCAGTGGTCACCAGTGTCTTACTATTATCAGACATAAGAGATGTGTGGTCAAAGGAGTAAAGCAGGTTACAGTTTATGAGCCTTATCACCCCCCACACCCACCCAGAGGCCTCATAGAACCTCACACTCCATGATTCAGAGAAGTGAAACATTTTTCTTTTTCTTGGTTTCCAATTATGTTTCATTCTACAATCATATCTAGTATCAAGGAAGATAACAGAGAACACCCAGGCTTTGAGTCTCAGTTTGAGCGGGACTGGAGCCTGTGCAGAAATCTCTCCCCAAGGCTCATGTGCTTCTGAAGGCTTGGGCACCAATGTAGTTTTGAAGGCTTGGCCACCAAGGTGGTGTTCACAGATCGGGTTTGGGGAACTGATGGGATCCTGAGAGCTCTAACCTCATCCACGGGTTAGCTCATGAATGGGTTCATAATTTGATGGCAGTAGTGGAAGATGGTGAATCTGATTGGAAGATATGATCCAATGGGGGCATATCTTTCAAGATTATGTCACATATCAGGTCTTGCCTCTTTTCTGTTCCCTCGCTCTGTCTGCTTCCTGGATATCATGAGGTGGGAAGCCTGCTCTGCCGTGCCATTTATCCTCTAAGTTGACTTTCTTTAATATAAAATGTATATTTTTTGAGAAATTCATACAATGTATTTTGATCATATTCACCATTACTTCACTCCTACCCCAACTCCTCCAGATCCACCTCCCACACCCTTGCACACTCTGATTTTCTCTTTAATAATTACTGTTTATATATATATATATATATATATATATATATATATACACATACATACACATATATAAATACAACTACTGAATCTGTTTAGTGTTACTTGTATGTGTATGGTTTTATGGCTGGCCGCTTGGTATTGGATAACCAATCAAGGGAGTGGGGAAAACTTAAGTTTGCTCTTCCAGCAGTCATTAGTTTCCTGTAACTTTCCATCTAGGGGTGAGGCCTTGTGAGGTTTTCCCTGTCCACATTGGCTTGTCAACTGATGCTGTCATTGTTTGGGGCTTGTTTAGGCTTCTACCATATTGTTGAGATTTCATGGGTATGGCTTCCCTGTAATAAATCTATAAAAGTTATAATCTTACAGCAGACATCCTACTTCTCTGGCTCTTAAAATCTTTCCACTTTGGGCTAGAGAGATGGCTCAGTGGTTAAGAGCACTGCTGGTCTTCCAGAGAAACAAGATTCAATTCCTAATGCCCACATGGCAGCTCAAGACTGTAACTCCAGTTCCAGGGATTCTGACACCCTTACACAGACATACATGCAGGCAAAACACCAATGCACATAAAATAAAAATAAATAAATTAAAGAAAGTCATCCCATCTCATCTTCCATGGTGTTTTCTGAGCCTTAGGTGTAGGAGGCTGTGTTAGAGATGTGTCATTTGGGGCTGGGCATCCCACAGTAAGTTGCTCTCAGCATTTTGATCAGTTGTGTCTTTCTGTGATACTCTCCATCTGCTGCAAAAAGAAGCTTCCTTGAAGAGGCACAGGAGCTGAATTTACCTGTAGATGGAAGGCTAAGAATTTAGGATGCAGTCAGGAATTACACTGGCTTGGAAAAGTGGCAGGAGTGGATTCTCCTCGAGGTTCCAAGACCATGGAGTGGGAGGGAACCTTCTCCAGCTGGATATCTGATAGAGGAATGATGTCCAGGATATATAAAGAACTCAAAGTCAAGAGTCAAGAAAGTAATCCAACTGACATATAGTTCTGAAAAGAAGAAACAAAAATGTCTAAGAAATACCCCCCAAAAATGTGCAGCATTCTTGGGGACACGCAAATTACAACTACTTTGAGATTCCATCTTGCCCCATCAGAATGGGTAAGATCAAGAAGATAGTTGACAATAAATGCCGACAAGGATGTGGGGGGAAAGGGGAGACCCTCACTCACGGTTGGTGATTGCAAACTTGTGTAGGCACTCTGGAAATCAGCATGAAGAATTCTCAAAACTAAAAGTAGATCTACTGTATGACCCAGATATGCTGCTCCTTGGCACTGCACGTCCTACTCCATAGATACTTGCTCAGCCATGTTCACTGCTGCTCTATTCACAGTAGCTAGGAAACGGAAACAACCTAAATGCCCCTCAACTGAGGATGGATCATGAAAATGTGTATGTATACACAGTTGGATGTTAGTGAGCTGTCAAGGAAAATGAAATCATAAAATTTCAGGTACGTGGATGGAACTAGAAAATACTATACTGAATGCGGCAACTCAGATCCGGAAAGACAAATGCGTGTTCTTCATTATTTGTGGTCCTTGTTCCTCATCCTTACTTGAGAGTGTGTAACCTGGAGCCTGGAGTAGCCACAGAAACTAGGAAAGTAGGATAGTGTATGAGTGTAAACCCAGAATTAATTTCAATTATGTGCTGGGTAGTTGCAAAGGCACTGAGGCATCAGTA